AGTTGCTTTTGATATTTCTTATATTGATTTTTTTATTTTTTCAGGTTTGTTTCATATGAACTCTGCTGCGATTAAACATGTTTGAACATGTTTGTACCTTCTCTTTCTCTTCAATTTCTTCATCTTCTCTTCTTAATAGATTCTGTATTCTTTTTATTAATCTCAGTTTCTTCCTTTTCAATAAGAGAAAGTCATCTTCTCTTATTATATTGTTGAAGTCAGATAAATTTTTTTTCTCCGTGACATTTTTTAATAACGGAATAATATGTTTTTCGTCCTGAACATCTGATAATATTGATTTTATTAACCAATAGAATTGCACGTGATTTGATTGGCCAATTTCAAGTCGCGTGCTTGTATGAAAAGGAGGAATTTTTAAAAGAGGCCGGCAATTTGTAGTAAATTGTTTTGGCTTCAAAATAGTGGCTTTCTTTTTTTTTGATATTATCTTATGTATTATTTTTTATAACTTTTAAAAATCATCAAATTTATTGAAGTCTTTAATTTAAGTATGCACTGTATTAAAAACATAAAAAATAAAAATGATTTTAATTAATAAATGAAATTGTCTACAAATTTGTAGGCAAAACCATTAAAGGGATAATATTATATAAAAATCATTTCCGGTTAAAATAATCGATTATTTGAACTTTTAAATAATTAGGGTGTTATCAAGTACCTAACTTAATGAAATTAGTCGGAGTTTGATTTTGAAGATCAATAAGTTACCGATAAATAAAATAAAGAGGCCCAAACCATTTTTTTTTTTTTAAATTTATCAATTGATAGAGTATAAGTGAAATCATTCAAGAATTTTTCTTCATTGGTGTAGCTTGAGTAATTGCCCATATATTCTTTTTATTAGTTTGTTTATTTTTAAGCTGCTCAAGTATTGATTTTAAATTGCATAGCAATTACATTGAGGGAGATGCTTGAGAACGCCTTTAATTTACTGTATCATTTCTGGTTCGGTCTTAGTACAGATTTAGCTACACCACAAATTTTATGTGCATAAAATCGATTATATTCGATTAATCGAAAATCGAAAATCGAATCTAGAGTCGAACGATAATCGCGATTCTCAAATCGATTCTAAATATCGAAATCGATTCCAATCCCTACTCTAGGACGGTTGCCGATTGACAAGATAAAATGAGGTTATTTTATACATTTTATTTATCTAGTTTATTATATTATTCAATTACTTATATTCTATGTTATAATAGCATAGTATTTCCATTGAGTTTTATAGAAAAGGTCATTATAAACTCTAAGTAAATCAGCCTTCTTTGTTTGTTTCACCTACATACGCAAGTGAATTGTATTAGATTTGATTTTCGCTAAAATTCCAGAACAACACCGTTTACAATATTCTTTAACCGGTTAAAAATCAACACTAATTCCATTAAAAAATAACAAATCGTTTAAATTTACTTTCCATTCAATATTTTTTAGTCTTGATCCGTATTTTGTTAACTTTTTCTTTTTTAATAGTTTCTCTGAAATAAATTCATGAGGAGCAGGAAATTTTTTTTTTTATTGCATCTATTTGTCACATTTTACGACAAAATTAATAAATTACTTTTTTTGTGTAACGTAGAAAAGAAAACTTTATTACTTTTTTTAAATTATTTCCAAAATGATTTTTCTTTATGTATAAGATTCTTTATTTTTTTGGTTTCATTTACTGAGAGAATTTCTCATAAAATACCGCAATAAGCTTCGACAATTTGATCATTGTGATTATAAATATTTTCGACAAGTGTACAAAGTATTTTATCTACATTAACAGTGAATTGTGAATGAAAAGTGTATATATACAGTATATATTTTTTTATTAATAATAAAGCTTTAGATCCAAAAAGAACAACATACAATAAAAAAAACCACGTTTCGCAGCAAAAACGAATGTGTTGTAAAATTTTTGATCAATAATACAGTAAAAAAAAACCAATTGGCATAAACGTTTTGTCAACTGGTGACACCAAAAAAGAGTAATTGTACTAACGTCATTTCTGAATCAAATAAATGTGGAAAAACCATAACAATAGTAACGTCTAGGGTTTTTTTTTTAAAAAAAAAAATTGATAAAAAAAAAGGAGTATTGTTAAACCGAGCGAATCATGACCACGCATTTGCATTTTACGGAGAAATAAGCGTATGTGGAACATTATGAATATATACAGCAAATTGCATTACTCGTCGTAATTAACCCTGGGAAATTCTGTTCGTATTTGGAAGGTTTTTTTTTTTTTTAAAAAAAAAAAAAATTCCTATTGACAATCACTTACCAATTTCAACTATTATTGGTATGTATAAATGGAAATTTACAATGAACCGCAAAGATAGGATTTCAAAGGTGACACGACAGATCCCCAAGGGGAATTGTAAGTTTCAAATCAAAACATAATCAGAATTTTGCGTCTTAGATCGTTGGGATTTGAAACGAGGCGATCCTAGAACGTTCAGATTTCTACTAAAAATGTGAAAAAAATCTAAATCTTTTTTTCGCAAAATGTATTGTTTTAAAAGCTGATGAATAGCAAATAGATAATTCAGGTTATTTTCCTAAGTAAAAGAATCTATATAAGGGTAAAAAGGATTTCTTCAATAGTAGAATAAATATAGAATAAACATAAAAAATAGCAAAGGGTAAAAAAATAAATATCCGACATTATAGATAATCACAAAAGATAAGAACAATCATTTTTGAGAACGGGAGGATTGTCAAAGTTTTTTTTTTCTATTTTTAACTTAATAGATGCAGGATCGGTACTACGGAACATTGTTTCATTAGATTTTCATTATGTTCATTCATGATGTTATTTGTTTACTTATTTATATCTTTTTGAATAATATTGTTAGAAATCTTCAATGAAAGGAGAGGCTTTTTTAAAGTCTTACTGATTATGGAATGATGGCCGTCTTATCGAATTTAAGGCTAACTTGCATTTGCATACAATACTAAGTTTTTGCAATAAGAATTGTTTGTCAGTTGGAAATATTTTGAGATTATGAATTTTTATCGTTCGTCGATTTATTATAAATACAATACCACTTTTCCTCTCAAATTTTCCTCATCAAAATAACGATTCAAAAATACCAACAAAACTAATAAAACAATTAAAATACATAACAAATTAACAAAAAAAAATGAATCCAACCACTAATTCAACAGTTATCATTGTTACCTCTGAATTAACTGAAAAACCTAATCCTACAAATCAATGCTCTATCATGTAAAACGTTTAATCAAAAACATGAACAAAATCAAAATCAAAATCATTTCCTACTTTGAAAGAAACGGCCTGGTGCTGTAAAGAAATCTTCAAGTTCTCAAAGGACCTTCTCGTTATTAATTTTCTACCTCGAAAGGAACGGAACGGCTTGATGAAAATTTTTCATTTCTCAAAAGATCGATCTATCTTTGTGTAGTTTATAATGTTACTATTTTATAATTATTTAAAATAGATCAACTCTCTAGTTGATTTAAATATTCTTGTACATTTTTTGTTTGATTTATTTATTCTTTTTATTTTTAATAAAAAAAATTGAAAGTTTGCTTTACCTACTATAATTTTTCAAATTTATTAAAGTTTCGTCTGAATGCTGTGTCGCACATAATTAATACTTTTCATGAAAATAAAATAAAAGATATATTGTAAATTTAACGAACTTTTCGACTTAAATTTAGAAATTTCATTAATTTGGTTCCTAAACTAATTTTGAGCACGTGACAGTAATCGGTCAAGTGGACCAATAAAAAAATTTTGACAAAAAATTTGGATTTCCGCCCGTCACTACGCACTACGCGAAAAGCATGCTAAAAATTAGTTACCTTCCCGATAAATATCCCTATTATTCGCGCTATCACAAGGTCAAAGATTGAATTGGTAGAGAAATCCGTCCAATTCTTACACACTATAATTATTTGAAGACATTTAAATGATGTGTGATAAACGACTTTTTCACTTTCAGTGATCGGTGTAAAAAATAACATAATAGTTGGCAGTAAAGGTTGGGTAAGATCAAAAAATGTTTTTTTTACTCTTTTTTAAAAACTATATTTATTAAAGTTGTGAATAAATTAAAATTCTGTATAACTGTGCTAAGATTTGAATAATCGACCGTTAATAGTAATTTGCAAAATATGAAAATATGATAATTTAAATTTTCTCATTTAAAATATTAATTCTCATCAAGTTTTTTTTTTAATTTTTTTTTTTATTTTAAATTTAAATTTATACAATTAGGTAAACAAATTTATTAATTTATTTTTATTTAAAGATTGGTAATTTAAATACAAGAATTTATTAGTTTATGGTCGACCATAACCGGTGACCTAATTTACAGAGCACCTGATATCCAAATAAAAGAAAATATTTTAACAATTCTGATCGACGTACTTTCTGAAGAAATGAATTGAAAAGGGATATTTGAAAAACTTATCGACTAACCTGGGATCGCAAAAAGGTTTGAACAAATTATTAACGTGCCGGTGAGCATCGGAAGACGAGTGCCGGGTAATGGTTTTAAAAATTTTGTTTGGGACCGTTATCTTGATAAAAAGGACGCGTTCCCTAATTCTGAAAAATTAAACAGGATCATAAAAAAAAAATTCCTAATTCGACTTGATACTAGATCTGCAATTGCCCCATTTAAATTTAGTGTTTCATTGTCCAAAGAGTTCTTTTCATTTATAAACATATATTAGGTAACGTTTAGAAAATTTCAAATTTTCTGAAAATTATATCATGTGCAAAAGGTATGCGATGTGTCAATTATTGACTAATTCAAATTTGTTTCTCGTGATAATGTTAACAAATACGTCCATTAAAAGTTAAGAAATCTGATTGGATACAATGTGTAACTAAATAAAAAAAAAAAAGATAATCGATTCATCTTTTTTTTTTTTTTCCTCCCAAAAAGTTATTATATTAATTTTTTTTTTTTTTTTTTTTTTGTCCAAATTTACGAGGGAAACTTTACTATACCAAATAATGGCGTCAAATCCATCTACAACTGCTCCAGTTGATTATATTATAACATTAGTTGAAACGATTGAAAATATCGTTGAACCTTACGTGTCTCCGATAGAACTTGCGATTAAATCAATATTTACTTCATACTTTCCTTCCCTGAGTGAAAATGTTTCGGGTTTTTTAGAAAAAAATCATTCACCTTTATCGGCTCGTTTACCCTTAATGAACCCTTTTCACGTCTTATTAATCGTTATCGCGTATTTATCCTTGGTATTTTTGGGAAAGTCTATAATGTCAACTAGAGAAAGATTTAATGTCAGATTATTAAGTATTATACATAATTTGGTCTTGGTCACTTTGAGCGCATATATGTTTGGAACCATCAGTTCCGAAGCTTGGAAGAATGATTATTCCTTATTTGCTAACCCTGAAGTGAAATCCGAAGAAGGTCAACAGGTAAAAGATTCGATTATGTAATGCGATGACGTATTTCTGCGCCATCAATCGATCTTAATTCCCTTATTTTTTTTTTCTTTGCCGCAGATGTCGAAATATATTTGGCTCTTTTACGCTTCGAAGATCGCGGAATTTATGGACACTTTTATCATGATTTTGAAAAAGAATTTTCGTCAAATTACTTTCTTGCACGTCTATCATCATTTTTCGATTTTTATGATCTGGTGGTTTGTAACATTTGTCGCGCCAAATGGGGAGGCGTATTTCAGTGCCGCTTTGAATTCACGTAAGTAATCCTCATTTTTTTTTTTTTTTTTTTTTTTTTTTGTAAAAAATATATATATATATATATATATATACATTTCCTAAACCTCATCCTTTCCTCCTCCTCAATCTGAATTCGTTTAGTCGTTCACGTTGTAATGTACGGGTATTATTTCAGCACGACAATCTCCATTCCGATTCGTTTCATAAAACGTTACATCACTTTGTTTCAAATGACTCAATTTACTTTAATGATGATCCAATCTACTTATGATATGGTCTACTTTAAGGTGTTACATCCTGAGGAAACAAATACTTATCCATTTTCATTAACCGCTATACTTTGGGTTTATATGTGGACCATGTTGGCCTTATTCGCTAATTTCTTTAGAGCTGATAGAAAAAGGGAAAAAGAAATTAAATCAACTCCCGGTAAAAAATCTCAATGAAGAATTGATTAATTTCTTGGTGTTAGAAATAGTTTTTCATCCATTGTAGATAGAATGATGTTAATCTTAGAAATGTTGTTTTATTGGATCTCTTTATTAATGACAAATCATTTCTCGTTTTCCATTATTAATAAAATGAAATAATTCATCTTAATGCATAGCATAAAAAAATAAAATAATCTTTTTTGTAAGCCGTATTTCATGCAAGTGGACGAATAAATAAACATATCTAGCTTTTACTTGGGTCTAATCCAAGTGATTTGCTAACCTACTTATTATATGTGCAGCGTCACTCACTAACTTTAATTAATTAATTACAACTTTAATTTAAAGGTTTTATTATTATGTTGAAAAATTATTTTTATCATACAAACGAAAATATTTACTAACGATTATACAAGATGCATATTAAATGTCTATATTGATGCCCCCACCTCTATATCTAATTTTAAACCATTTACATTTTATGAGGGTCTGGAAAACATCTTTCTCCTTGCGTTTGAGCATTATTCCCATACCATTCAGGGAAATCGGCCTATAATTTCAAAACATATACTTAATAATATTCACGAAAAGTAATCCCAAATATTTAATACCTAAAATTATTACTTACCTGGAACATAACGTTGAAAAAGAAGAAAATAAACATCGTGACTATCTGTGCAGCACTATCAAATGCAGCAGAAAGCGGATAATTATACCTATTATGAATAAATGCTTTAGTTCGTGTGAAATTATTAATCAACTAATAAAAAGATATGGTGTAACACTTACTTATTCCACCACTAATAATTATTAATGAATTATTTAAATAAAAGCAAATAAGCGAATATTATCTTTTTAATAATTGCAAAATATTTTCATGTACTTTGTAAAAAAAAGGGAAGAAAAATCTCCTCACGTTACCTTACGGTGATATCTAAAAGCCCAATATTGGCTCAAGAATGCTGCAACAAAACCAGATATTATGAAATTTGTATAAGTCCCAGGTAAGAGTCCTAAACCGTTACAAATTAAAGGAATCGTAATTAAATGGAATTTGGCCTTTGGATATCTTTTATGTAACAAATAAATGGGAACAGGTGCAAGAAACCCTAATAAAAATCCCCACAATAATGGATGATATATAGATCCCTACATACGGAGAAAAAAATTTAAAAAGATAAAAATAAATATAATCTTTTACAAATTTGTTAATGACTTACTTGGCCAAAAGTTTTACCAGGTCCAATTAGTCCCCATACTATTGATGCTGTATTGAAAACTTGTGAACGATAACCTGTCCATTGACCAGTTGGATCTTCCATTGTCCCATCCAAAAATGGCCTTTTTGCCGCTATAATTAATTGAAGTAGCCAATAATTTATAAAGGCACCTACTATTGTGCCCCATAATTGTGCCGCAAACATGGCTTTGGGAGGAATTTTCATATAATGTCCTAAGATATACATCATCAGCATATAAATTATAATAATACCGATATTTATAATCAAATACTTACCAAGTTTTAGGTCAGATACAAAGGCTAAACATTGATGCATCGCCATATATCCATAACATTTAAAATAAACATTGGCAATTGGACGTCCCGGAAATATGTAACTAAAAATACAAAATATGTACGTCAAGATTATCTCGAATTAATGAGATAGTTTTTTGAAATGATGATTTACCCGCATATCATCTCTGTTACAACATTAAGACCAACTTGATTATTGGATATAGCTTGAATTATTCCTTTTTTTTAAAAAAAAAAAAAAACATACAGATATCTAGTTATAGTTACTCTAAACAAATAACAGAATAAAAGAAAGAAAAAAGTCACAAACCTATAGGCAAAACCATAACACATGCAAGTCCCACAGCCAATAATAATCCATACCATGGTAAATGTGATCCTGATACAGAACACAATATCATTGATATGAATAACATGAAAATAAATATACATGCGTACCACCAATTAGGAATCTCTAGATAATTTACACCAAAGATCGGATTAGTCGGTAAAGTTAATAAATTTACAAAAACGAAATTAGGTATCATATTTCGTGCCTTCATAATTTTTCATCATTTTACAATGAATATCTTCAACTTCTTCAGATCGACTAGCCTTGAATCTTCCCCAGATTTCATCTCCATAAAATAAAGCTACGTGGCTAATTGCTGCCGAAAAAGATATAAAGGAATAAAAATATCCAGCAGCAAAAGTTACACTTAAATAGGCAGGACCATATTCTTTATATGCTGTTTCATTCAATGATCCCGTATAGCTATCAATGATCGCGGTTTGATTATATCTGTGATATGAAATGATATTTTGCAAATTAATTGTCAATATAAAATTTATATAATTTAATAAATTTCAATACGTCAATTAACCTTATTCCATCTTTATCCAAAGAATAAGTCGCCAAAAAAGGAAACGTTTTTGCCATCCTAAATGAAAAACATTTCCTTAGAATTTGTGAATTTTAAAAAAAGCCACTTTGCAACTAATCCACTCTCTTACCAAACATCATTGTAATACAAAATCGGTGCGATGATCCATGATCCAATAATCACACCGGCATACCAGTTAACTTGTGCCCACCTATTTATTTTCGAGAATATTAATGTGATATTTTTCATTAAATCTGTCTAGGAAAATTAAAAATTCATTACCATGGAGTGTAAAGTGGACCTGGTTGTCCAACTGCATTCCAATCCAAGGAAAAATTCAATATTCCCAATCCATGATATCCGCTACCAAAACGAACAATATCTGAATTAAACGGCACCATCAGACATAATATCGATATACTCGTCAACATAGTAAATATGTATTGAGGGAAAAATTGCCATGCAAACATGCAAATGAATGCGATATAAAAGAATCTAAGCTTATCACGCGTTTCTGTCACATTTCCGTGAAGCGTCGAGAAAAGACTCGAAAACACTAAATTTGATGGCCACTTTTAGTTGGAAGAATTAAATTAGTCGATCTCTCAGAAACTTGAAGCTTTGTTTTTAATATTATTCATACCAACATGTTTGCTGGTCGGACAAGATCTAAGAATAAAGAATATACGTTAGATTAAAATAAATTGAATGTACTATCGAATATCTTGAAACATATACATTTTCGTAAGAATCCGGCTAATCCATATCCAATCATTTGTGTGCTCAATAAAAGCAATATTCCTATTATAAATCCAGAATGTTGATTATAGAAAAGTTCTTGTATGGCGATAATATCCTTTTAAAAATAAAAGAATAAACAAATGATTGATTAATATATTATTTATATCATTCAAAAGGGGATATAAAGATTTTGATACTTACGGTGCCATAAGCTGAGCCACCTCCGGCTCCTGCAGCAACAGCAATAAGCACATGTTCTTTTATATTAAATGGACCTCAAATGAATATAAATAAAAAAATTAGAATATATTTCGTATAGGTATAATTCAACCGATAACTATCAAGGATACCTGGATTTAATGTAAATCTCCAGTTCCAGATCCTGAATTCATCAATAGGAAGTGCTTGAGCCATCCATTTACCCATAACAAAAGAAACGAGCAACACGAAAAAAATTGAGTATCCACCACCATTTGATCTGAAATAATAAAATTCAGATACAGCAGCTCCAAGTGCGGTAAATATCTAAAATAAAAATTGAATTTGAAAAAATGTATAAACTTTTTAAAAGAAAAGTAACAATTATTACTTACGAAACTTAGAACCCAAAAACGAAAAGTTAGACATGGTAGAGAAGGATCATCCTTAATACTAACAGCCTATGATAATAACCCAAATATTAATCGATGAATAAATGGTGAATTAATTTCAATTGAAGTCAGATAATTACCGCAGCAACCATTGGTATTGGGGAATTTTCAAGATAAATTTGATTTTCCGATTTGTCGCGAGACAAAAGATGAACATCATCATTAAAATCATCAATGTCGCCAGCGCTTTTACTATATATAGTTTCGTCAGAATCATCAGGTCTCAATTCTGGTAATTCAAAATCATCATCATCAAATGAAGAATTGTGTCCTTCTTCTTGTTTTAATCGATCATATAATGATATATTAGTCATGTTTTATAAGGAAAAAAAATAAGTTATTGGGAAGACAGACAGAGAACAAATGTAAGACAAAAATCAAGCTTTTCATTATTTTAAATTATTTTGGTCTTACCATCACATGTGACTTACAGTCATTCTTACAGTAATATATATAAAAAAATTGGCGCAAATTCTTGTTGATCGTCAAAACAAATCTGTGGGACTTAATTACTCCATTTAATAATCAATTTTTAAAGTTAGACACTTTCCTTTATTTTCATATTAGAATGAAAAAGTCAATAGTAACTCAAGAAGACTTGGATTTCGTTGCGTGCGAGAGCGATCGGTTCGAAAGTGAGAGAATAAGGTGGAAGAACAAGTTGATACAGGTTTGTGAAGTTTGTAATTACACTTGTCTTTTCCTTTTGAAAGCTGTTTCAATTTTATTCTTTGGTTTATAGCAAGCTGTAGCTCAGACAGAAGCAGAATATGAGAATGAAATATCTATAGTTAAAGAGGAGGAAAGAAAAAAATTGAAAGAAGCGGAACGAAAGCGTAACGAAAAATATGAACGCTTGAAAAAGTTCTATGATGAGCTCGCGTTGCAATAGTAAGCCTACATATCAATGATAATTTAATAGGAATATTTTAATTTAACTGTTTACACCCTTTTTATAGCGAAAGAGAGAGACGTAAAAGGGAGCAAGAGTTCCAAGCCGAACAAGCCAAGTGGAGTCGAGAGGCAGAGGTTTGACTAATAATTCATATCTTTAGCACTGTATGAGAAAATAATTTAAATTGATTTCATAATAGTAATAATTATTTCATTTTAGAAATATGAACGTGAACTTCAAGCAAAAAAACAAGCAGAATTAAATCGTAAACGATTAGAAGAGGAGCAAAAGAGAAAACAAGCCCAAGCTGCAGCTCATGCTCAAGAAGCTGCACTTGCTGAGGAAAAAAGATTAAAGGAGAAGCAAATAAAAGAAGCTGAAGCAGACAAAAGAAATAAAGAAACTCAAAAAATAGAAGCTGAGAAGAAAGCGCTTAATAAACTTGTATCAGATAGCGCCTTGAAAGAGGAAGAAAAATATCGTCAATATCTAAAAGTAATTAACGATAATATAGCGAAGAATTCTCAGCTAAAAGCTCAATCCTTGGAATCAAGAAGAGCCATAACTCTGGCGTTAAATACTCTCACTAATGATAGGATTAAAATAATTGATATAGTATGTATATAAAGTTCATGTATGATTAGATTCGTTTATCTATATATTAAAAAATATATATATTAAAAGGCTACTCGGTTAGACAAAATGCTCAAAAGTGTTCAAAATAATAAGCAACTTTATTATTTTCTTCTTAATTTTACGGCAAAAGGCATCGTGGTTCGTATATTTTATAAATTTTTTTTCGTTATTTGGTTTATAGCTTTATTTATTTTTTTTTTTAATCTATTTTTATAATTTATTATAAATTAATAAAATTAGAAACATGCAGAAGTTGATGTATTATCCAATGAGTCGGCGGCTTTTCCATTTGCTCATGTTTCTGTTTTACTTTCGACAGAGCATCCTGATTTTATGGATAAATTAATGATGGTTCGCTTAGTGAAAAAGTGCCCATATGTATTACCAAGATATTATGTCAAACTTCCGGTAACTTATAGTTTAGCATTTATAAATTAAATAATCTTTTATTGAGTTAACAATTAGTAATTCCTTGAGTATATAGAATCAAAGTTTGAATGATTTTAGAAAACAAATGGGTTACAAGCATAACGAAGATGATGAAGCTTATGTCAATAGGATGTGCGCGATTTTAGCTTTGTATTGTGCTATAATGCAAACTGTTCCGCTAATTCCTGGTAATTATCAATAATATATATATTTGTATAAAGTCTTCGGCTTCTGAAACGGGAACATCATAAATTAAAATTAAAAAAAAAATTTTTCTTTAGGTCGCGTTAATCCATATTCAATGGATCATGCGTGGACTTGGTTGGCTCGATTATTGAATTTAATACCGCATAAGATTACTCCGTCCCTTTTATATATATTTTTCAAGGCTAGGAAACAATATTTTATTATTGATATTGCTATTCTTATTAATGAAATAACCAACACCAATTTATTAATTTAGATTGCCGGTTCGCAATTTATACAAGTATTTAAAGAGCAAGGTGGTAAATTAATTCTCGTCGCTTGTAAAGCTTATGTCCAACAACTTCCTCCAGAGATCAAACCACTCTTAACAACTTCACCTGCTGCGATGTCACGGTTGAGAACATTTCTAGAAAATGCATCTCAGAAAGGATTTACTGAACCTGAAGGAAGCAATCCAAGATAATTGACATTTTGGTTCAAATTCTTTTTTCTCTTGACGTTATGTCAAAGTTGTAAATATTAAGATGTTAGGTATAATCATCATAATTTCATACCTTACTTAGATCATGGCCATTTTGGCTTTTAATGTAATTTTCCTTTGAAATTTATTGAATTGACAGGAGGATAGAGGATAATCTTATAATAGAATCAATAAACTGATGTGAATCTTAATTTTTGAATTACTCACTATTTCGGAATATGATGCGCAATTAAGTCAACAATTTAAAACCAAATTACGATATTACTTTTTACGACAAAAAAAAAATAAAAAAAATTTATAAATAAAGAATTATTTTTTTTTTTTTTAAAAACCTAATTTATGGATTGTTAAAATATCTTTGCTTGATTCTAAATCATCCAGTTTTTGCCACCATTTAAACAAGAAATTCTCACAGATAAGTTTAAACCACGGAGTAAATTTCAAATCTATTAAAAATAAATATATAATCTTTTAATAAGATGTTATAATTAAGTCATAAAAAAACATAAATACATATCAAACATACTGCCAGGGTTATTGAATTTTTGACGTAATTCTTCCGGAGATAAAAATTCAACGGCACTAACTTCATTTTTATTAACTGCAAGATCATTTAGAGTAAAATTTCCTCGAATGAAAAGTATGTAATCAACTAAATAATATATTCATGAGTTAGGAGTTGATATCATTAAAATGATACTGTTCCAAAAAAAAAAAAAAAAAATTTCAACAAAAATAAATTACTTTCATGTTCGCCCCAAAGTCCGTCTGAAGGAGCTAAATAATGAACTCTAGTTAAAAACACGAGATCATCAAGAGGAACCTTTTCTGGTTTAATGCCCAATTCATGTTCTAATTTTCTTTGAGCTGCTCGACGTACTCCTATATAAAAAATAAAAATAAAAAAAAATTTAATTACATTTCCCCTCAAACAAGATCAAATATATTCATTTTATAACCTCACCAATTTGAGCTGCTTCTTCCAATTCCAAAGGAGTATTTAAAGGATGAGAACAGCAAGTATTTGTCCAACAATCAGGAAATGTAATTTTTTCACTGGCACGTTGTTGCAATAATAATTTATTTTCAGAATCAAAGAGAAATACCGAAAATGCTCGATGTAAAAGTCCCTTTTTGATGTTCTCCATTAAATGACCTTTTTGAAATATCATTCAAAATAAAAGGATTAATTATTGTATCTGATTGAATGTATTAAATAATCATCCTTGGAATTGCATACAATTTTTCTTGGTATCTGCACTAATTTTTTCATCCTTTTCGTTAACGACAATACACATTTCTTGCATTAATTTAACTTGTTCGTCATCATATTCGTCTAAATTAACATTATCAGTCATTTTTAAAAAATTTATTTTTTTTTGGTTTTCTTTTTTTAAATATTTTATTTTTTTTTTTAAAAAAAAAAAAATATCCGGGCATCCTTGGAATTAGACTTACATTTATATATCTAATAAAGTTTCACAAGCTTGCACTACATGATCTACTGACCATAATAGTAAATACCAACAACTTTCAAGAAACAATTTCGCAAAAATATTGGTATAAGTTAAATACTTTTAAAATATTATTACAAAGTCCGTGAACAGATTTTACAGATAATTTGAAAGTTTTTTGGTATTTTTTCTTATAATGGTACTAATACCATGGTTTTAACGAATGAAGATTGTATAATATGTAATAAATAATGTTAAATGATTCGAACAAAAAAGCAAATTCTTTATTAAATCGTGTATCGTAAAAAAACGTAAAAATAAAAATAATATATATTTGTAAGAATCGGCATAATCATGTGATTCCAGGGATTGAACCAGAAATTTTTTTTTTTTTTTATACAGTGCAAGCAGTATGCGTGCAAATTTAAACTAAATGAGAATCAGGTGAAATTCACACTAACCGATTTTCTTGATTTGGTTAACTCCGATTTCGCATGGTAGAATCAACTTATGCTATTTAAGGGAAGCTAATGTAGGATTAAAAAATTAAATCACATATTCTTTGTGTCAAAAATTACTACATAATCACCAAAAAAATGGGTCGCGAGACATATTGAATCATACGTTAAGCTACGCCACATTTTTTTTTTATCATATAATTGGTATGTAAGTTTGTTTGGTCACAGACCTTTTATGGAGAAAAGGCTTAAGTTGACAATACAAAAATAACCATCATTTATTTTGAAAATTAAATTGTGTTCTTACCCTTTCTTTTTAATTAATAGCCGTCATTCATTCAACCAAATCTCCTTTAAATATAAGAATTTTTTATCAATACAATAGCAGAAAATGTTCGTGTTGAACAAAGAATGTCGTATTTGTTACGAATCACTTCCAAGGTCTTCTTTTCGTGAAATCACAGTAAATTGTGATCATGGATTATTTATTTGTAAACCTTGTGTTAGTAAACATATTTCAGCTCAACTGGATAGTAAAGGTGACGTAGATATTAATTGTCCGTTTGAAAATTGTGAGGAAAAATTGGAATATCATGATGTAAAAAAACAAGCCAGTCAAGAAGTATTTGATAGATATGATACCTTAACACTTCTCCAAGCTTTGAGGCAAATGCCAGAATTTAGATGGTGTAAAAATTCCGGATGTGGTTCTGGTCAGATTCATTTCCAAGAAGGTAATAATTATTTAATATTTTTTTTTATCATTATGATTGTCAACTTACTCCATAATTTATTCTCAGACGATGCTCCTATAATGACTTGTGAAGCTTGTGGTGAAAAATCCTGTTATACCCATGATGTTCCTTGGCATCAAGATTTAACTTGTGACGAGTATGATGTTAATAGAAGGGGTGAAGATGAGGCCACTCAGGATTTACTCGATAGAGAAACCAAACCATGTCCCAAATGTGGTGTAAGAATCATCAAGTATGAGGGTTGTAATCACATGACTTGTAGAATCGGTAGTTGTAAATATGAATTTTGTTGGTTGTAAGTATTTCCAAGCTCGTTTTTTTATGATGTATAAAAATATTGATATTATTTTATGTTTTTTATTAGGTGTTCGGCTGATTTTAATGAGATTAGGAAAAATGGAAATACGTCTCATAAATCAACCTGTCAATTGTATGCGTAAAAATGCGTCATTCATTTTGTTTGCTAGTCAAAAAATCGTAAAAGAATTCGAAATGAAATTAAATCCCTAATTACAGTCAACGACCAAAATTATGCGGACATTTTGATTTGTCAAAATTAGGCAGATCGATCGTTACGTGATTACATA